ATTGGAGCTTACAATCTACTTTTGGCGATAATGTATGCTGCAATATAATTTTAGTGATATTGTATATTAGAGTATAGATTTGGAAATATTGTATCTTGCAATCTAGTTTTGGAGATATTGTATCTTTCAAGCTAATTTTTCCCCCTTGACCGAAGTCAAACTAGAGATAAGCTGCCAGTCACTGAACATTTAGATTTTGAGAATTGCACCCATAAACTGTTGGGTCATTTTAATAGATACTTACTAATGACTAGAGAATGTTTCTGGGTAGAATGTTAATAATAAAACAAAAAGAAGATAGGAACGACGAGCTTTGATATTCGCCTGCCTGGATTTCATGGGTTTTGGTGGGCTGGCCTTTAACGACGACCTTGTTGGACGTACTAGATTTGAAAGACAATAATTGCGAAGATGCTCTAACCCACACAGCTTAAACTCGCCATACCACGTTTACTGAAGAAAACCTCCCTCATTCTCGTCGTAGACCATTAGTGAGATGTAAGTTCGACTCGATAAGCTTCTTTTAACGGGTCGCTATTTTGCGTCACCGATTCCCAGGCGGATGTTTCCCTATAATCACTACAATCTTAACTTGTTCATGTCTTGACGTAACAGTTATTTCCCCACATAACTGAATAAAATGTTCCTCTTATTCTGTAACCCTCTTCTACTTGCGCTTTGAGAAGTGTGAGCATCATTGCAAAAAATCTAAAATATTTGTATCTCTGTTTCTAGAAATACAAAGATTTTTGTAGCAATAACCTATGCCAGATATTGGTAAAGTTATCCAAAATGTCTAAGGCCTGAATATTTTATAAACGGGATTAATTTATAAACAAATACTTCAGATTCTCTGATAAATGAATGATACGACATAAACAGTAGACCTAGAGAAGGCAAAGTTATATTGTCGGTTGCGCAAGAAGTTGTTTTACTTGAGTTGATCAACAACGTTCTTTGACTTTCGTAAACGTTTATTCAATTAGATTATATTGCTTAAAACTGTTCTTTATTTTCTTTCCCTTTATGCAATGATATATTGTTTTGACATCATGTCTTCATTGCAATCAAAACAAACAGATATTTCACATTGCGTTTTTTTTTATCGAAATCTTTGCCGTTTTGGGCGATCCTAGCTCTTGTCAAATTCGTGTCTTTTGTTGCTTTAAGCAATTTCAAGCGTTCCCCCCCAGTTCACAGTTTGTCTTCAATCGATATTCTACAATCTATTCGAAAAGACAGGTTATACCTGAAACTCGAAGTTATGACATCGCTGTTTCATTTTAATATTCTTTTAAAAAAGAAAAGACCCGCGTTCCTCATAATATGTACCAATGCTTCTCTCTTTTGTTTGCTAGTTTAAGTTTTCTTATTTTTATTTTCTTTATACTTACTCATTGTTAACAGACAATGACCCCGGTAATATTCTGAGCATTCACCGCTAGTACAACACCACGGTGTTTATTACGAATATATTCCATTGCTATTCAGATTCTCTGACAGTCAGTAACAAAGACAATTAGATGTTTTGGCGCTGATATTAAACGACACTATTATATCTACTAAAATGTCTCTGCAATATGTATTTGATTTACTTCAAACCGAGTTACGGCGACTTGATCAGAATGTGACTTCGCTATAACTAAGAGACATGATGTATAGTAATAATTGGAGACTGATGGATGCATTGTTTTCCAGAAGGTGACTGCACACACACACATAAACACACACATGCACACACATATGTACACAAAGTGAGAGAGAGGGAGAGAGGGATGGAGAGGGAGAGGGAGAGTTGTAAAATTAACTATCTTTTCAATTTATACGCTTTTTGGAAGAAAAATAAGTTGCAGTATTTTAAGAAAATCTATGAGCATTGTCACATCAAAATATTAATAAATGTTATGATTAACAGACTATTTCGTATATTCAAAATGCGCTGCTTCATTCTATCAGCAAAAGATTTACAAAGCATTTAAATCATTTCTGCAACAGCTTGTGGAAATTTCTCATAAATTTCTTATTTTAAATCAGAAACTGTTTTCCGTTTGAGCCTATACACAAATACACCGCCCTATCGACATCATCTCGAAAAGGGGCTATATATATATATATATATATGTGTGTGTGTGTGTGTGTGTGTGTGTGTGTCTGTGTGTGTGTGTGTGTGTGTGTGTCTGTGTGTGTGTGTGTGTGTGTGTGTGTGTGTATACATAATATCCAACGTTGATAACACAGTAGGATGTTTCATGCAGTTACTGCAATCTTCAGGTGTGGAGATTCTGACCGTTATCTATCGTGTCCTCGTGATGATTCAAAATTATCTATACAAACTTGTCAATTTGAAATGTAGAATTAACTATTAATAATTAATATCGCTCAAATTCGTAAGATCGAAAGTCGAAGAAGTAAAAAAATAATAAATAAAAAAAATAATTCAAATTTGAAATAGATTCAAAAGTATACAATATATCAAGGCTTACTGGTTGAATCCCCGACTGACGCCAATTCAGTCGAATTTCGATGCTAGCTAGAGGCAACCGGACGTATATATCTGATACAGCGAAACATTCTGTCTGGATTACAATATATATATATATATATATATATATATATATATATATATATATATATATATATATATATATAAACAGACACTTAAAAACCATACGTGATATTTTATTTCTTTGAAGCTGATAAAACATGGCTTCAAATCCTCAGAAAGGTAAACCAAATAAAGCTGAAAAGATTATAAGAATATTGATTTCATATAGAGAATAGGAGAAAGAAAGATATTAATTTATGATGTAATGGAATAACCTGTTACCTCCATGAGTTACTACACTATAGGTAGTAATTAACTATAAGTATCCGTAAGGCAAAGGACTACAGGAATCTAGCTGGGATTGGTTGAGTACGACCCAGACTTACACGAGAACTACCGACGTTTAATAGTAGCACTCACTACTGGATTGACTTGCGAAGATCTTGCGCATGTTACTTTATTTCTTATTGTACGTTTTTTACAATAAACCATTACCTATTTTATCCACCATGTTTTTCAAGTATATATTCCTCTTTGCTTGGAATATAACAATAACTTTCACCAATCATATGTCGGAGGGCAGAGTCTGGTCTCGTGAAAAAGCCACCCGACCCCGATTTATACGGGGTGAACGGGGAATTTTTGGCTCGGATATCCCGCATTAAACTCGGCCTTGTGCCACATCCTACCTCGTGGAGAGGTTGTTAAATATCGTCTAGCTGGGATCTGTTACTCAGCACTTAGCTATTGTCGAACTCTCTGTCTTCGTGCAGAGAGGATCCAGGACGAGGCATTGCCGAAGGGTAGAGTCTCGTCTGAGGAGGTAGACAGACCCGAACACGTTTATGCGGGGTTACGGGGAATTTTTTGGCTGAGCCTACGGGCTTGGATTACCCCACATTAAACTCGGCTTTGTGTCACATCCTACCTCGTGGGGAGGTTGGTAAATATTGTCTAGCTGGGATCTGTTGAGTACGACTCAGATTTACACGAGAACTACCAACCTTCCAATAGTAGCATTCACTACTGGATTGACTTGCGACGATCGTGCGTATAACTGTTACTTTATTTCTTATTGTACCGTTTTTTACAATAAACCTTTACTTATTTTATCCACCATGTTTGTCAAGTGTATATTCCTATTAGCACGGAACATAACAAGTTATCATCGTGTAGGAAGTGGGGAATTATATATGTATGTGTGCGCGCGAGTGTGTGTGAGTGTGTTTAAAGGAATGAATTTCATAAAAAGACAAGAGGAAAAACTATTCTTAATCGACATGTTTTGCCCCTCTAAGGAACTTTATCAAGGCAAATATATGATTTATTTTAATTGTTATTTTGTTTCTTCTCTCACATTTACCACCTGTAGATATTCTTTACTTTTCCATGCTTCCCTAATAACTACAATCTTAAAAAAAATCAAATGCCAATCAATCGCCATCTTCTATGTTCTTGAATCACGTTCAGCTTTTATCCTTTCCTCCGTCCCCCTATACCCATACTTTTCTCTCAGCATCATTTTCTGTAACCCCCTGCGTACTACTGGCATTACCGCCTTGCCTGTGATGCAATGATAAAAAAAAATATCCAGGCTAGGCTGATGCGTTTATTTTCCCACAAATATCCTTGCAGATGGTTTGAATCTGTTTCTAGTTCTGACCAACTATATGTCATATCTGAGGATAGACTGACCTTCTTCGCTTTGGATTGCAGGCGGTCTAAGAGAATGAAAACAATTGAGAAAACAACGGGGAGTCACTACACAAACATTTTCAAGAAATGCTTTGCAATTCAAAAAGTCAGGAAGAAACTTCTATAGATCGTCTTTTTCACAGACGTCCTGAAGGGACATGAAATAAAAAAAAAACAATGAAAAAGGGAAAAGAAAAAAAAGAAGAAAGAAAACGATTCTTTTTCTTCTTTTCTTATTTGTAAATTTCTTCCTATACCGAATCCTTCTTATTCATTCTTCACGCCTACTAAAATATCAACATCATCATCATCAACAACAACATCATTACCATGATCATTGCCATTTAATTTAGTCATTTTGCTTGTTTTTATTAATTGTACCAAATAGGGTTAATATTCCTTTTATACGAAAATCATCATCTTCATCGTCAAAAAACAACAACAGCAACATCTTCCTATATCCACACGTCTTTCTTCTTTTTCCCCTCCATATAATTCTTTTCTATTCACATTCCAATAACACTAAAAGGAATTCACCACCACCACCACCATCATCATCATCATCATTTTCATCATCGTTTCTCTCTTATTTTTCTTTCTTCTTTTCCTTCCATCTAATTCGTCTCTATTCACTCTTCACAACCACCAAAAGCATCAGCATCATCATCATCATCATATCATTATTTACTCATTTTGTTTGTTGGTAATTGTACCAAATTTGCTACATTCTCCTTTGATACCGAAATTAGTTCCCAGCATCATGAGGAATGTCTCTCTCTCTATCTCTCTCTTTCTCTCTCTCTCTCTCTCTCTCTCTCTATCTATCTATCTATCTATCTATCTCTCCCTTAAATTCGTCGATTCCAAATTTGTCTCGCAAAGTGCAATGGAATACCATTTACTGAGCGCTTCATTGTTGCATAATGAAGTGACGAGAGATGGGAAGGCGTAATGGAAAATGGCGAAGGAAAGCGATGCAACTTGGGGCATAATTACGTCGCCATTGTAAGTTATGCAACCATGCTAGTGCGTCATTCGACACATGTTAAATGTTCATACTGACATTTCAATTGCAAACAAAATCACTTTCCTTGAATAGAGATTGCATTGCCACTAAACTTTGACTTTCGTTTCGTTGTCAAAATTTCTGACGTCAAGATGGAGGTCACTTCGAAACAGAATTCGGGTGAAAGCCGTTATTAAATTTCGGATGCAAGGTTAAACATATTCTATGTTCCGTGTCCCTACAGGGCGTCAGTAATCATTGCTCTCCACAACTTTCAGTCCTTTAAATTTCTTAGTGTGTTTTGTATTTTTACTATCTGTGCTAATCCCTGTTCTGTCAACCATTTTCACCAGTTCTTTAAGTAGATTATTCGCTGTTTTCAACTGTCCCTATTGCCATCATCATGTCCTGTTCGTTATTAAGCGGTCTTGAAAGTTCAATTGTATTCTTAACATCCATCAGTAGAACGACATTTGAGTTTCTTACCATCAAGTGGTTAGTAGGTTAATGCATCTTTAAAATTTCGTTAGCGAAGTGAATTCGCCATTTTATATCATTAACTTTACTCATTTACTTTTTGTATGAATGATTCATTGTAATATATATATATATATATATATATATATATATAATATAAAATATATATGAAAATTTCTCCGATTTAAAAAGTAGAGAAGACAATATTTATGAATCAAAATGACAATAGGGAAACTGGTAATTGCTGACGCGATTCGTTCAATGACTTTTTTTCGTATTTTACTTTGATAAAGTCCACATTGGACGAAACGCGTCAGCAATTACCAATTCTCCTATTGTCATTTTATTCATATATATATATATATATATATATATATATATATATATATATATATATATATATATATATATATACCATGTATGTATGAATATATTTCAAAAAGTTCAACCTTAGCGTTGCAACTGCACGCCCACAAGTTTGTATTCGTTATCAATAACACATTTAATAAAACATATTACGGTTCGCATTATATTCTTTTCATCTCGAATGCTACCTGAATTTTACCAAAAACAAAATAATTTCCATGCGTGAAAATTCGTGGAGGTACAATCCAAACTACTTGCGTATTTAAGAAAGAACTAATACTATTTATAATATTAAAAAAAAGATCCTAATATTCATCGAGTGATTTCAAATTTCGTTAGCAAAGTTAATTAGCCATTATATATAATTAACTTTACTATTTTACTTTTTCATCAGTGATGCAATCACTTAAAGAACATCTAAATTGATAGACAATGTTGTCCTTTTACAATATTCCTGTTGACGTAGAAGAATTTTTTGACAACTAAATTGGTTGCATTAAATTTAGTACAGTATACAACCAACCTCTCTTTTTTACTTGGACCAGTAGCGGATATATTAGTGTTTATAAAACTTTTCTTACATTTTTTTTTCTGCTGGTTATAGTTAGAATGTTTTTGCTCACGGTATATTAATTTCATATTTTTAGTATTATTTGACTACGCATTGTCGTCATTTTTATTTGTTTATATTCCTAATAGCTTGTCTAATTTACTAAATAACGACGTAATTAGGAACGTCATTATTAATTAGGAAAGTCATTATTAATTAGGATTTGTTTAACATTTTTTTAATTCAGTCTAGAAAATCCTTTTACCTGAAGATTTTGATTTCGCACGGTTTAAGTTTCGCATAATAGCAATTTCGTAATAATTAGGACATTCATTTTTATTGTTAAGAGTGCATGTATTAGTTATTTTTCTATGGGGATTTAGTAAATGTATTATTATTATTATTGTTGTTGTTGTTATTATTATTATTATTATTATTATTATTACTGCCTATGACTACATCAAGAAACGGGATTTTGTCCTTGTTAATATGTACATATATATATATATATATATATATATATATATATATATATATATATATATATATATATATATATGTATATTTATTTGTGTGAGTGGAGAGACAAAGTTAATAACGTTACCCTTTTAGAACAAACAGATTCTGAAACATACAACTCTTAAACTGTCAACTTTATCTTCGATGGCTTTCTCCCGTGAATCGAATGAATGACGGCCACAAGCCCCAAAACATCATGTGCGGTGAGCTAACCACGTAAGACTGACTGGCAGTTCTCCCTGTACTAAGTTCGAAGGACGTCAGCATGAAGTAGCTTAAATGTAACAGCAGGCAAGAAGTTAGTTCAGAACAGCCATCAGTCTATCAGATGGCGCCACTCTGTTCATGAATGAGCCATGAAGGGTCAGAATGAGTAAAACTAACAACTGTAGGTCAAGGAGCAACGCAGAAATCAATCTAAGAACTTTGTTCCAGATTCCAGTTTCGTCTGTCAACGAAAGAATGTGAAAAGATTGAACTATTCAACAGCTACAGACGTTGATCACAAAAGAGTCGAATTTAAGCACACATGGTGCTATCATTACAGTGCGAGATAAATGGATTTCTATGGGTAGAATATATAGTTTTGATTTTGAATTTGTGTGACCGCACTGTTTATTTACATACGCTCTTTCACCGTATAAATATGCTATACATTATTATATAATTTAAGCTAAAATATATTTAAAATATATCCATATATAAAATATGAGAGAATATATATATATATATATATATATATATATATATATATATATATATATATATATATATATATAGATAAAAATATCCGTATCTAAGTAATCCAAGTAGATCCTATTAATATAAAAAATAAGACTGATGCACAGTAGAGAGCTCAGTATAATTTTTATAATAGCGAATAGAAGTAAATTACAATTAATGAGATTCAAACGATTTATTTCATACAGATTATCATTTCGTCCATGGGAAAATATTAATGCAAATACATTTACTAAAATGAAAAAGAAATTCCTTCACAGGAAATTTGAAAGGCAAAATAGACACATAGAGGTAATCTATTCCTTTGCCTTTCAGATTTCCTGTGAAGATTTTTTTTTTTCATTTATCAAATGTATTTGCAGAGAATGACTACTTTCACAAGGACAAAATGATCATCCGTATGAAGTAAATCGCTTGGATCTCATTAATTGTAATTCTCCGCGCTGCACACACACACACACACACACACACACACACACACACACACACACATATATATATATATATAATTAAATATATAAAATTAGTTTAACCCAACATACAACAAAACCATCAAAACAAACATAAGAAGGACATTCCTAAACTTAATAGAAAAGCGCTTCCCTGAAACAAGCCTATTAGGGAAAATATTCAACAAAAATAACGTTAAAATCATTTCCAGCTGCACAAAAAATATAAAACAAATGATAAAAAGCCACAAAAAAGTAATAATCTGCAATAATGCAACCAAGCAATCTCAATGCAACTGCTGAAATAACCCAACATGTTCACTCCAATGAAAGTGCCAACAAACGAATATAATTTACAAAGTCATGGTAAGTGCAAGCAACTGCACAATGTACTACATCGGTTCCACTGAGGGACCGTTCAAGAAAAGAAAAAATCAACCACAACATTTCATTTTCCAACAGAAAATACTCAAACAGCACTACACTATCCACATACATATGGCATCTAAAAGACAGAAATACTACACCAAGGATAAACTGAAAAATATTGAAAAAGCTACAAGAACATTACAAAGAAATGCCTAATTTGCCTACATGAAATATACCAATAATTTCTCATACCCAAGAAAAGAATTTACTAATCATAAGATCAGAAATAATTTCAAAATGCTGACATGAAAACAAATACCTATTATCACAATTTATGCCAAACGGATAAAATATAGCATCCAATACTACTACATAAACCACTATTGACCATATAAACATGAAAAGAGAGAACACTGACAGCATAACACCATCAGGTATTTTCTAGTTCAAACTACCATCATAATAATTATAATTATTAATATCATTACACCACCATTACTACGATCACTTCTACCACTTTACAATAACTATTTGCTGCTACAATTGTTATTAGCATCAAGCACTCCCCCAACCATTACTAACACATCACAATTAACATTGCTGCATTAGTCCACAATTACTACGGCACCACAATACCATTACCGTATCAGTCCACAATTATACTTACTTCCCCTCCCCCAGTAAAATTAATACTACTGTATAAATACTAATAAGTATTACAAATTGAGGTTGCTATCATTTACATATGGGCAATCGCCAAAAACAAGAAAATAGCCGAATTTAAAATAATAACAAAACAGCCTTAAAAAATTAAAAAATAATATCAATTTTTTCTCACCATAGTCTTACACTGACCCCATCATGCGTGTATATGTGAGTGCGAGAAAACATTCTGCAAACAAAATAGAAGAACGGTCTGCGTGGTTTTCTCATCTTCCTCTACATAGAAGCATCCAATTTTTATCCCTACAATCATTTCTATAGTCCTATGATATCCTTTAAAAGGACGAAGTACGTTCCATAATTATTTATTCTCATTCTACGACACCTAATTTATAAAGAAACACACCCACCCCCATATACAAATAAAAGGAATGCTAAATAGTTAGGGAGGTAATTTAGCATAGTGTTTTCAAGTTATATGTACGGTCAGCTACTTCCATAAAATTTTGTAGTTGATAAATATATGACTCTTTTAAGAAAATCAAGAATAACTTAACCGAATATATATATATATATATATATATATATATATATATATATATATATGTATATATATATATATATATATATATATATATATATATATATATATATATATATATATATATATATACATATATATATATATATATATATATATATATATATATATATATATATATATATATGTATATATACATATATATATACATATGTATATATATATATATATATACATATATATATAT